GAAGCTTGATGAAGGACAAACCGTGGTTTGCTACGTGTGCCACAAGGAAGGTCACAAGTCCTATGAGTGCAAGGTGAAGAATGAGGGAGGAGCAAAGATGAAGGAGAAAAAGCAAACAAGCAAGCTCTCCAACACCTACACCAACAAGGTGGACAAGAAGACCTCCACACCTTATCTCTTGAAGAAGAAGAAAAATGACAAGGTGGTGGCCATCAAGGTGAACAAGCAAGCCAACAAAGGGGTCAAACGCTTTTGGGTGCCAAAGGAAATCATTTTAAACATGAAGAGCACCAAGAAGGTTTGGATCCCGAAAGGAAAGTGAGAAGTCCGTCGGACCACGGGGAATTTGGAGACTTGGCAAAGTATGGGTGCATTTCATGGGGTGCATCATGATGGATAAAATCATTGCCAAGTGGGTTAGTGAATACTATGGACCCAAATTCCCCTTTCCATGTTAGGTAACTAGATGTTATTGCTTTTAAATTGGTACATCTTGCAATTAGTTTTTCCTACAATTGGTATCTTTAAGCATCTAGTTACTTTTCATGCCTAGGGTTGCATTTGCATGCTTATATCTTTTGTCATGCATACACTAGGTATTTCATATGGTAGGCTTGCTCGGTCTCATTTGTAACCCTTGGAGCAAACCTATATGGTTTAAAATTGCTTAGGAGCACGGCACATAGCTTGTCTTACTATTGTTTATCTAATATGTGCCAAAGTCTAAATTGTAGATAATTTTCTCCCAAATATCATCTTTCAAGTGGTATTTTGACTCCAAAATCAATTGTGCATGAATACTTCAAGTATTCCATGTCTCCATGCACAAATTTAGGGGGAGGATCATCTACAAGATGGACGCTTTGAGACTAACACCTTTTTCAAGTTTATCATGTGTGTAGTGGTCTCATTGCAAGGAAAATGGAGTCCCCGAAGAGAAGCATCGTTCTTCAATTGGCATCATCATGTTGATTTCATTTCATATTTATATGCTTTCTCCATGCATTATATAGATTAAACTCTCTTGTGCAACAAATTGCTAATTATGCATATGCTTTGCTTTCTACCATATGTATGCATATATTTAGGGGGAGCTTAGTCTATATAATGCGAGAGTCAAATTTTGTGATCCATTTCTCTCTATACACAAAGGATCATGAAATTTGACCCTCCCTTGTGCTACTAATGTCTTCCTTTTTAGTGTTTGATGCCAAAGGGGGAGAATTTAAAGGACCAAAAGCAAGCATCAAGTTGATGTCTACAAGTGGTAATGGTCCGAGAAAGAGAGGAAAGTGAATTATGGATTGAGAACTTTTCTTTAGAAAGATAGGCTCTAATCCATAATATCACATGGGGACATTTGCAAGGGCAAGACATGCTTTTGAGTAAAGTTTTAATTGATATCTATCAATTAGTATCATATAACCTTGCCCTTTGCATTGCATCCTAGCAAGTAGATAATTTTAAATTTAAAATTTTTTATCATTTGCTGTTTTTGGTCGTGTTGTCATCAATCACCAAAAAGGGGGAGATTGTAAGGAAAATGGACCCTTGATCCATTTACTTTGGATTTTGGTGTTTGATGACCAACACAACCAAATTGGACTAATGAATTTGCAAGTGTTTGTTTTGTAGTCCAATAGGGTACAAGGCGTGACTTGGACGAAGGCGACATGATGATCGATGATCAACACCTTAAGCAAGACCTTAGAAGCACAAGAAAAAGACCCAAGATGTCAAGCAAAGTACAAGCATGAAGATAGGAACCAAGCCGTGCATGAAGATCGCAAAAAGCGAGCTCATGAGAGGCGACCGAGACTGAGCCGGACGCCGACTGAGCGCGACCGAGACGACAGCTGGACCGGTGGCTCGGCAGATGAAGCTGACCGGACGTAAGGACCGGACGCTGGCGGCAACAACCGGACGGACGGAGCGCAGCGTCCGTCCAATCTGAGAGAGGGTTCAGGCCTGAAACTTCGGACCGGACGCCGTCCGTGTAGAACAACCGGACGGCGGCGTCTCGATCGGTAGTTCGCGGCTACTAGCGGTTGGGGACGACCGGACAGCGTCCGGTCGGGACGATTCAGCGTCCGGTCGATGAGCGATTTTGGGAGTTCGACCCCAACGGCTACTTTCTCGATTGGGGCTTATAAATACAACCCCAACCGCCATTTGAGAATAGTGGAGTGAGAAACATACCAAAGGTGTAGATACACCATTCTAGTGATCTCCACTTGCATAGTGCTTAGTGTTTCATCAGGTGATTAGCGTAGGTGCTTTGCGAAGTGCTTAGGTTGATTAGACCACCGCTTATGCGCTTGCTCTAGGTGTATGCCTAGTGTTTAGTGAGGTTTGCATACCTCTTACCACCCCGTGCTTGCGAGCACAAGAGTTGTACATCGGAGGGGCTTGAAGTCTTGCGAGATCGCACCAACCGCGTTTGTGGTGCGGCCGCCACCGTGTACCGAAGGGAACAAGGCCCGCGGCGTTTCGGCCGAAAGCTTGATAGTGAAGACGGCGGGGAGCATCCGGGAGAGGCTTGCCGGAAGGCACGTCGGAGACCCACTTGCGCGTGGGGAAGGCCCGAGGCTATCCACAGAGTTACCCGACCGGGAGCTTGTCCCTTGCGAGGGATTCCTTGCGAGGGGCTCCAACGAGGACTAGGGGGAAGCTTGCGCGCTTCTCAATACCTCGGTAAAAATACCGGAGTCGTCGACAGGAGTTTGCATATCTCTACCTTACTCTTTAAGCTTCCGCATTTACATTGATCATATTATTATCATTTGCGGTAGAGATAGCAACTCACTAGCAAAACCGTAGTTGAACATCTAGATAGATTATCTTTTGCATAGGTTTTGCTAGAGATAGAAAAAGAGGCCATAGTTTAGAGTTAGATTTTTAAGTTGCCTAATTCACCCCCCCTCTTAGACGTCCACGTGTCCTTCAGGGGTCACGTATCGGGGCCACGTCTGGACGCAAGTTGGGGACGGACGTCCTCATAGAATCATTATCGTTCGAGTTTTATAAAGGTGGACTAACAATTAGTCAACATGCAAGTTTGACACCTAAAACCTGCAACAATAGATTTCTGCTCTTCTCAGAAGACATTTTTTAGCAATTAACAATATGGATGAAAATCTTTCCTATTTAACTTATTCTTAGTCAACATACACTTATCAGTTTTGAATGGAATAATTTACAACATGACCTTTTCATTTTTTTATTAATTAAAGCAAGTTAATAATATATCGTTTGCATTTTATCATCGGCACTGCTAGCGCCCGAATGTCTGGACGGACGCCCGTGCCTACACTCTGTCTCCCCTCGCGCACCTGCATCCCGTGCCCGCCTACACGGGCTCGCACCGCTCGACCCACCCGACTGCACATGGGGAGTCTACACTCGCGCCCTCTCCACTTCTCACATGCATTCACGCAGCCAATAGGTGGCTACGCCAGCATCTAGAAGAGGGGGAGGGGGCGGCGGATGCCTAGCCGGCAGGAGGAGGAGGAGGAGGAGGCACCGAGGCAAAGGTGAGGCAGCAGAAAAGCAAATACATAGATGCAACACCCAATCTACTTTTGAAATATTCAGATGCAACACTTGCAACATACATATAAAGGCAAATGAAACACATGAAACATGCATCTGAAACACTAGCTGCAACACCAGCTCTACTTTTGAAACATCTAAATAAAACACTTGCAACATACGTACGAAACAACTAAAAACACTCGCAACATGTATATGAAACACTTGCAAAAAAAAACACCTGAAAAACACTCCATATGTGTGAAAACATATGCAATATTAAGATGAAACACTTGCAAACATACATCTTGAAAACAAGATGAAACATTTGGAACATACGTGTATAGACACTACAACATGTGCAACATTCTGATCTATTTTTGCAACATCAAGATAAAACACTTGCAACATCCAGATGAAACATCTGAAACACTTGAAACATATTCTTGCAACATAGGCTTTGCTTGGACGAATGGAGGCATGCTGGCGCTAAGGTCGATGACGGCGCATGGACCTCGATGTGCGGCAGCAGCACGGGCAACTCGCCGGCGGGCGCGGCGTCACACGAATCTCGTCCCCCTCGCCTGCTTGTTGGAGCATCCGTTGTGGAGGCTCGCCGGCTCGGTGGAGGCGATTGCGGTGAGTGGGCCGACCGCAGCGAGGAGGCAGCGCGGTGAAGGCTGGCGAGGCAGACGGGGCCCGATGGGGAATGCGGCGCAGAGGAGGCCACAGGGGATGGGCCGTGGCGTTTGGTGGAGCGCAAGCGAGATGGGGACGGTGGCAAGGAGCGGTGGGGTGGGCGGATGGGCACGGCGACGCAAGGAGGAAACGGCACAGCGACCATTGGGACGCTTGGCCAAGACAAGCATATAGGGTCATGGGCAAGCGGCGCGTGGAAGTGAGCTGTGGGAGGCATTCATCCGGACGTCTTAATTATATTATCGTTTTATCATAGCCTACTAGAATATTTATTGGTCAATAGTATCCTTGTGGATGATGTAAAAAAAGCATAAAATCCAGCAAAATATGATGTACACAACAACAATGGTCCTTATGACAAATAAAGTAACTTTGAAATAGATATTGATACAAACAACTCTGTTGAATTCGTATTAACCATCCGCCTCACAAAACTAGCATTTTCTCAGAAATAAAAATACTTCACTCACAAAACTAGCATTTTCTCATAAAGAAAAATACTTCACGCACAACCCATGTACAGCCGCCCACCGCCACAAGTGATCCTTCGCTCACTTAGCACTTAGCAGTTCATTGCAAGATGAACTCAGCGCTTAAATATAGCTAAGCTGCTGGTTTCACAATTCCATTAAAAAATGCTACCTTTAATTTATTTTATTTACAACTCCAAGTCACTCTGACACTTGACATAGCTAACTGTTGGATTCATCATTCATTCATACAGATCAATGGCAATTGCATGCTCTCTGATCTCCTAGCCTACCCTCGTCTCAGAACCTGATAACTTGCTTTGGCTGGCTTCCATGTTTACCCAGGGCTTTCTCCAGAGCCAAGCTGAACTCACCAAAAGAAATCGACTCCATCCTGCAAACAAATTAATATGTTTCCAAAGGCACTTAATTTTTCTCTTTACAGATACGGCAATGTTTAGATGAGGGCATGTCAACAAGATCTAACAGCAACCCTACAACAGAATGCAATTAACAATACATACTCGTATTTGAGTTTGCCTTCATGCACAAGGCCCAAGAGGTAGTCTATCATTCTTCTGCAGTCTTCTGTTTTATCTGAGTTCACCCACTTCTGGAGCCAGAACCCTCGTAGCGAAAGATCCTTTAAAAACATATATTGCATTGTGTTAAGTAATTTTAGACATATGGGGCAATATCATATAAACAATAGGACTCACCATCCCTTGAACACAACGTGAAACCATCTATCAAATAGTTTGTTTGTCTCGACATGCTGATAATTCAGCACTAGTTTCCTAGCATTGTCATCTACTGAGAGTAACATTGCTCACATTGAATAGGCAGTTTACTATAATAAGCATTAAAAATGTTTGAAGTTGCCTAACAATATAAGTAGGGCAAAACTGAGGATGCATAAGTTTCACAAGCAGGGTCTTGTGTACATACCTTAAAAAATAAAATATGAAGTAGGGACAGTGAGAGGTCTCTTGGACATTCCACCATATGTCACCATGGTGCCTCCTTGCCTACAGCACAAGAGTTATGTCTATGTGTGGGAGAAAAATGGATTATTCTACCCTTTTTCAAATTCAGCACATTACTTCAAAAGCTTGAGTATTAGAGAAGCAGCATTTCCTCCAACACAGTTAAATCCTAATGCAGGCTCCGGCAAAGCACCCTGAGAACACAGGAAACAAAACATTAACTAGATACATGTTGGTTCAAACTTGAAACAATCCTACTCTTTACAGGTAGAAGAAAAACTGCAATTTGTATGTCACAATGCCAATGTCAGGCAGTAATAGCACTACAAGAAAAGAAAAAAACAGTGAACTACACAGTTCTACCACATTTGAGATTGGGTTTCCATAAACTACTACAACTAATCTCTAATAATACAAATCTTGCACCAAAAGCGGGCCACTCGTCCGTCTGATACGGATCGGTTTAGGTCTCGCCCACTTTATCGCCCACTCGAATCGTCACGAGGTTTTGTGGCACATCCCCTCTGCTGCTCGAGCTTGAGACGTCATTCCCCTCCACTACTTGAGCTCGAGACGCCCTTCCTCCCCGCTACTGTCGTCTCCTCTACCTCGCCCATCCTCCATCGTCCAGGCCCATCGGGGCGCCATGCACATGCAGCGTCTCCAGCCTCAACCCCCTACCCCGCTTGCGGCCTCACACCAAGGCTTCCCTATGCCCACGAGTGCCAAGAAAGGCCGAGACACGGCGCCACACCCTCCACCGCTCCCCTTGTCGCCCACCTTCTCCCCCATGAGGCGCCTCCTCGGCCATCCAGTTTAGTATCCTCATTGCAACCAGGCTGAGGAAACAATTGATCACTTGCTCACTAGCTGCGTGTTTGCAAGGCAATTCTGGTTCTCCCTCCTAAATCGCTTTGGGCTGCAAACTGTAGTGCCGTCGATGAATGATACTTCTTTTGAGGACTGGTGGAATAGAACTAATGAGATGGTCGATGGACAATTGCAAAGAGGCATCAATCCCATCATTATCCTAGGGGCTTGAACACTTTGGAAACATTGGAACAAATGTGTCTTTGATGGCTTTAACGCCAATACGGCTACTGCCTTGCTGCTTGCTGAGGAGGCCCAGCTTTGGGCAATGGCTGGAGCGCGAGGGATCTCCTTGTCGGCCCTCATTCTTAGGGGCTAGGTTGATCCAGGTTGCATGTATTTGTAACAAAAAGGCATGTATGTAATTCTGTGATCCTATGGGTGTGTATGGGTGTAACCGGGGCTCTTTACCCTTTTCCTTCTTCTTTAATATAATGATACTCAGCTCTCCCGTGTCTTGGAGAAAAAATGTGTACCTTTCAATATTCGGTTGCTGATTTTGTACAGTCCCCATCTCTATCAGTTGTGCTTGAAATATTCAGGTTAGATTATTTCAGTGCAATTGATGGGGTGGGAACTGTACCCAAGGCTTGCGTGTTCTTTTGATTGGTTCACCAGCTACATTAGTGCTCCAGTCTTAAATCACAAGGTGTGGCCTATTTTACCTTCTTCCTACACATGCTTGCGTATTGTATGCTTCAAACTGTATGTATGCACATTTCAAATGGACTGGTAGTCGTTTCTTGATTTCCTATAGACCATTAATGATTTTCTTTAAAATTGCAATAGAAGGATCATGACAATATTGTGTGATATGATAATGACCCATCATTCCTTCTTCACTCCTACCTTAGCATTTCTACAAGAATATAAACAGAATTTCGGTAGTGCAGAGTACAGAGTATAATGCAGTAACTTCTCTGTTACTGCTTGCTTGGATGTCTGAATTATGGTGAAATTCTTTGGAGACTAGTATCATTTGAATCAAAGATCATAGAAGGACAATTGTCTCCTTTATCATGAATCTAATTTCAACTGATTGCCCTAATGCTTTCACCTAACATTTTGGTTTTCTTAAGACATACAGTTGACCTGTACTCTGAAATCTTGTTACATCAACATTTTTATCTGTGAAGAGCTTTAGGAATTTAGCAGTATGGCAATTGCAATTTTACCTGTAATTCCTATGCCACTGGAAGCTACAAACACAGAGATACAGCAACTACCCTATATTTAAGAATTCTCAATGCTAACTTTTGATGTTTATCTGCTACGGAGAAACATGTTAGTAAATTCATTCATGCAGATATGTATCAAACATGTTTGTTCACAAATATTCTATACCTTGATTTATCGCATTATAGGTAGTACAAACCATGGAAAAGAAATAAACATGAAATCACAAATAGTTCATCGTTAGTGCAAATTAGCTAATATCTAGCTCACCCCAAATTCACACTGCAGCTTGTCATCTGACAAACCATATACCCTTGGCAGCTGAAAGCACCGGTCTTATGGCTCCAAATCTGTTTGTTCCATATGCATGCTTTGACTCATTTCTTCATAGCTAGCTTTGTCTCGGCGAACTATTGATAGTAAACTACCGTTACTTATTAGCTTAAGCAAGCACCTCCCTACGTTGCACCTTATGCATATGTCGTTGCTTGGTGGTTCCCCATAAGCTTGGTTTAATTTCTTCCCAATAAAAAAAGTTTGTTAATATTTGATGGTTTGAGCTCCACTTTGGCAATCATGCCTGCTTCCAGTGTCAAATAACAAAGTGGTAGTAATTGAGTTCGGCTTGTTTGCTCTTGTTATGTGCAAACAAAGAGGATGGAAACAACCACACACTGTGGATGTCCTGAAAATGACATTTGGGTTGATGGCGAATTCAGTTGTATGAGCCAGAGCGCCAGAAATTATGGGAGGATAACCGGTTTATGAAAATGGTATCTAAAAGGAAGACTCAGGTGAATTGATTTCTTCATGGATGTTTGGATCTCCTAATTAGAAGCTAGTTTTATTAAAACGAGCTTTATTTGGAATTTTAGAAGAAAAAAAAACAGTTCCTGGTTGTGGTTAGTTCATTACTTAATGTTTATGTTTGGCTGTGGAGGAGGCAACACACCACCAGTGATGGATAGCACTTTCTCTGATCTAAATCTTTGTTCAATAGTTAGTTTATGCACGCGGCACGCCATTGCTGCCAGGAGAATTTAAAAAAAAAATCAAATTGAGGTATAGGCCCTGGGTGAAGAATGATTGCTAGATTTGTTGGATGTTGGCAATTGAGATACCATACATAAGCCAGTTCTCTGAAAACCACAAAAACTCGTTTTTATTAAAGCTCACTTTTCTAGGTTATCAAGAACTTTGTTTCAGATTTCAGATAAACCCAAATTAGTTATAGTGTTCAGACATCATCGTGCTGCATGTTGGGCTAAAACTTGTTCTATAAAATCTAGTTTTTATAAAACATGGGATCCAAATAACCCCTTCAAGAAACACCTCTGTATATATTTCTTTTATTTTCCGTAAGTTAGTTTTCTTGGCACTTCTTTCTAAAGGAATATCATGAGAACTGTGTTTATGTTTAGGACAAAAACTCCTATTCAAGTTTATCTGAATTTAACTTTTTAAAAAATTGTCCTCTTTCTCTTTTTCTAAAATTCTCCCGCTACTAGATCCTTGCCTCTTCATCGCTGCCCACACCTCTACTGACAACCATTTCTAATTACGACGCTGCCTCTGAGCTACGATGAATGTGTGATGAATGACAACCCAAAATTGGCTGAAACTGGCAAGCTCTCTAAACATGTGCGGTGCAATGCCAGCGTAGTTTTCTAGTTTAAACTGCATTTGTCAACATCAGATCACAACCTTCCTATTTGGCAAAGCTTTTGAGTTCTCACACAGAATTTTAATTTTTATGCACACGTAAACAGATACTAGCTGGCAAGGATGACAGCAATTTGGAAAAGCAGGTAGTGGAGCAGTACCAGCAAGCTCTTGACATTCTTCATGTCTAGCTGAGATTCTGTGAACACCTCATCTGCACCAAGTTGTTTGAGTTTGCTTTTTGCTTCCTCTGACCCAGGCCTGCATCAATTCAGCTACTACAGATTACTATTGAACAACAGTGGGATAAGAAGATGGGTATCGAAAGTGAATCATAAGAGATAATTGGCACAGGAATCATGTAGAAAGGCAAGACACCAACAGAATCCTTGATCTTTGTTGATGGCACCCAACTTTGGGAAGGAAATTTGTAATGTACCTGTCCCTTATAATGTTGATGGTGTGGATTCCATGTACTTTGGCGAGCTGAATAACACACTGGCCAACAATGCTGGTAGCGCCATTCTGAACAATAGCATCACCTGGTGACAGTAGAGATTGGAGGTCACGAGATGACTGGCATGTGAATTCTAGGACGTGTCAAATGTCAAGGGAAGGAAGGAAGAAACTACTTGAAAGAATGGTCAAAAGAAGCAAAAAGAGCACCAGGATTGAGTTTTACAAAGTCTTGGAGCATCCTGAGCGCGGTCGAGGGGTTGACGGTGATGGTGGCAGCGTACTCCATGGGTACATCGCTGCGGACCTTGTGCCAGACGCTCTCATGCTTGACAATGTACGTCTGCCAGGTCCCTGAAGAGCATAAAACGGTACTACTAGTTGAAATTTGAGTCGAAGAGACCCCCTCCCGAACCCGAAGCAGCAAGGCAAGGCAATTACAATTACCGACCAAACGATGGAGGGGATGGTATGACCCAGTCGCCGGGCGAGAGCGGGGCGGTGACGGCGGGGCCGACGGCGTGGACCTGGCCGACGCCCTCGTAGCCTCCGACGGCGGCGGGGAGTGGGGGCCTGACGGGGTAGACGCCCTCGATGCGGTTTATGTCCGAGGGGTTGATGGGGGCAGCCAGCATCCTGACGCAGACGTCGCGGTCGCCGACCTCCACCGGTGGCACGTCCACCGTCCTCAGCACCTGCTCCGGCAGGCCGTGATCGTCGTAGACCACGGCCTTGGATGGCGGCGAGACGAGAGTGGGCGCGGTAGAGAAGTGGGAGCGCGAGGCGCGGCACCGGCAGCGGCGAAGCATCTGCAACGCCGGCGGCAGCAAGCGGGACTGCGGCGCCATCTGTCTGCTACCTTGCTCTGCATAGGATAAACTGATACATGAGAGATTGAAGTGTAGAACAGTAGAAGGCACGTAGAAGGGTGATAGGGCATCGAACATTCTCATTACAGAAGAGGAGAGCAGGGAGCCGAAAATAAGGCAGTGGAGTAGCGAGAAGGAGAGGAACTCACACTGGAGGGCGGACGGGGAGGCCTCCTCCGATTGCGCGATTCGAGGGAGCGGCAGGGCAACCCTAGAGAGAGAGGGAGGAGTGGGCGGTTGAGGTGGCGGTGGCGGCGGCGGCGGCGGCGGGATCAAGCAGGAGGGCGAGCGGGGGAGGGGATTCGTAGTCGGATGGCGCCGCGGGGCTGGCCGGGGACGCAGCAGGCGTAGGCGGCGGCGGCGGCGCGACGCGGGTGTCGAGGCCTCCAGGGAGTCAGTGTTACGGCAACTGCTCCAGCTAAACCTCAGGACACGGGCACACGGCATCAGAAGCCTATGGGCCGAGACGCAGCGATCGGGCTCGTCGTCCAAGCACGAAAACCTCCGGCCCAGAATGGGTTCAGGCAGGGTTTTTGTCTATAACCTTGTTTAAGTTAACAAAAAAAGTTTTACCCAAAAAAAAAATTAACAGCATCTTACGGGTAGGATATTACAAAAAAAGATCTATACAAATAAAGTCAAATTTGGAAGGGGCAGTGATATGTATAGATGATAGGCTACTAATGTTGACAGAGAAGGAAAATCAAAAACTAAAATTGCATAGTTTAGGCTTGTTGTAACGAATTTCATGTTCATTGAGGATTTTGTGAACGAATCCTTTTGAAAGCCTAATTAATCAACGATTGGACAATTATTACCAAATACAAATGAAATACTACGATTGTCTAAAGTCTTCACAAGCTCGTCGCAGTAATGATGATTCGACGGCGTCAACTTTGGGCAACTAAACGAGGGCTATAACTGGCATATATTAAGTTAACAAAAAAAAAGTTTCTCTCCAAAAAAAAAAAGTTAACAGCATCTTACGGGTAGGATATTACATGGCTCCCAGCGTATACAGAATAAAGTGCCATTTGGAAGGGGCACTGATGAAGGTGCCTATGATAGGCAGCACTACCGTTCACAAAAAAAAAAGGAAAAGAAAGAAAGAAAGATAGGCTACAAGTAAATACCGTTGAGACAGAGTTTGCATTGTAGGCTTGTTGAGCTAAAGAATTAGCCGTCATGTTCATTGCCCTTAGGATTTTGTGAACCTCGAATTGGGAATCCTTCAGAGCTTGCAAGAAAGTACTCCGTAGTTGTGATGCTTTTGATGTTCCAATGAGGTGGACCGGAAAGATCAGTGGAGTTGTAGAAGCTTGCCATGATGTGACTGCCTGTGAAGAAATTGACTGGGCTGGTGTTGAGTCTCTTTGTTATCAAAGCAGCAAGAGTTTGTTGCTGCTTTCGCCATTGGGACTGAGTCTGCAGGTTAAGCAGCAGCTGGGTTTGTAACTGTGCGTAACTCTGCATATTATAAACAATCAATCAGTAGATAGTCAACATCTAAAACTACACATGAACAAATACTTCTACCAAGCGCGAACTGATCATAGATCTTTTGATTGAGTTTTTTTATGGTGAAGCTTGTTTATGGGTTGTCGTATTTTTTTGGATTTATTCTAAGAGGTGCTCGTAGAAGGTAGGTAACTTTCAATCGAGAAGTGTTTATTATGGTGCTCGTGTAGTAAAGGTTTGCGTTCGTATGTTTATAGGAGCGAGTATGCATAAGTATAATGGGCGTCTATATTACTGTGTAATTTAAAAAAAATACTTCCACTAATCTTTCATCCGATCCTAGTACTGTTTAGGCAAGACCATCGATCTACGTTCTGGTCCAGCACAGCTCCTCGCCAGTCTGCGAATTCCTGTAATTCCTAGCTCAACAACGTACGGATAATACCTACGGATACTACTAGATAATTCCTGTATAACGTTTCTCTCACAACGTACGGATACTACCTACTACTCCGTAGAAAACAAATCACGAGACGTGGCTGCAACGTCCGGCGGCTCGGCAGGCAACCAACGCGGCCCACGCGAGCCACGAGAGTGCCGGGATACACAGCCAGGCCAGGCCAGCGCAGCAGCGGACACGCTCGTCCACGCGCTGGACGCACCGCGCGGGCCTACGACGCCACCACCAGCTACCCAGCCCCGGCTCCGGTGGCAAGCGCGAGCTCGAGCGGCGGCACCGTGGAAGAGTATCCGTCCTCGTCCTCGTCCGAGATGGTCATGTACTAGCAACCTCAAGGTGTCATGTCATCAGCCAGTTAGCAACCTCAAGGGTTTGCGTTCGTCTCTCATGTGCGGTTCTTTTCTCTCTTTTTTTTTCGGAAATCGATAGTCGATCTCTCATTTGCAGTTGCATACTCGTATCACATCACGAGCATGCAAAGTTTCGAAGTGTCCCGTTCCTTGTTATAAGGGACATGCCATGCGTCGACGCACTTACAATTATTACAAATCCCAGGTTAAGGGGTGTTCGGATCCGATGACTAAAATTTAGGAGATGTCATGCGAGAGTGCCGTATGTGGTGTTCGGATATTAATAAAAAAAATTAGAATCCATCAGTACTTCACTAGACAAATCTATTAAGCCTAATTAATTCGTCACTAACATATGTTTACTGTAGCACCATATTATCAAATCATGAACTAATTAGGTTTAAAAGATTCGTCTCGTAAATTAATCACAAATGTATAATTAGTTTTATAATTAGTCTATATTTAATACTCACGGTATATATTAAATATCCAATAAAACAGCGACTGAAGTTAAAGGAGAAACCAACACTCCTGATTACACGGTACCACACCATCGTGAGACCGACGGCAAAGGACATGCGAGTGACGAGGACCTGGACTACGGGAGCGCGGCAGCAACCCGCGGGCGCGGGCGCGGGCCCGGGGCCCGCTCAAGTCCGCGTCACGCGAGGTGAGCAGCAGCAGCCGAAGCCCGAAGACGCGGCGCGCACGTTCGCCTGTCCTGGCAAGTAGTACACCGAGACTTCGAGGCAACGCAACCGTGTCGTGTCGGCAGCCAGCGGCGCACCGGGACCCGGACCCGGCACGGACGGCGGGAATTTTAAAAAAACAACTGGTAAAGCGACGCGTGTGTGTGCGGTGCGGGAGGGGGAGGGCACCGTCCAACCCCGTGACAGTGATAGCGGCGTGACGGCTGCTCCCCGCGATGCGCCTGCCGCCGCCGAAGATGTCTCCACCAACCGCCGCCCCCGGCTTTTAAGAAAGTCCACACGACCCGGCGGCGCCGTTCCGTCGGTGCGCGTGCGGCTGGGGCCGTGGGGGCAGTCGCAGTCGCAGTCGCAGTCGCAGTCGCAGTCGCAGCCGCAGCCGCAGCCGCCGCCCTCGCGCTGAGTTTCTTTCTTCTTCTCAAAATCACGCCGTCGTTTTTTTTAAGGAAAAAATCACGACGTCGGTTTAAGGACCAGTGCCTTTCTCTTGAACCCTTGGGTAGAGATTTTTCAGCTGTTTGGAAAGAGCAAAAAACCACCTGCTGACCTGCCGATCTTAGGCACTGGTAGTTTTAGCATGCACTGTCCTAGGAAAATACTCTCTCTGTTTTAAATCATAAAATGTTTTGGATTTTTCTAGATATTACGCTATTAGATACACACTATATCTAAGCATATATATATATATATATATAGCAAAAGCAATGAATCTATAAAAGCCAAAATATTCTATAATTTAGAAGGATACAAAACACGAAGTGTTATATTTGGCATGCTCGGGGGAGAGCTTGTTGCATTGGCTCCGGCTACAAGCAAGCAGACCTACTATTAATGTTCTTCTGTCTGTATAGAGCAAATAAAGACACTCTCAATATGGAAAACAGAATAATTTCTATGTGCATTAATTACCTTGTTATATAAAGAAGGAAATAAGAGCGTGGTTGGTTGCCTGCTCCTGCCCTCGGCCAGGCCCTCCACATGCGAGAACAGACGATTGTTTGGTTGGCATCCTTATTGCTTATGCTGTCAAATTGCCGATTATACCTTTACATACGTGGTTCTGGTACCGTTGCCGATCGCTCACGCAGCGGTGCAAAAGGAGCACGCGCAGATCGCCTCCCGGATACTGGTTCTTGCTCCGCCCTCGTAAAGGGCCCTCCACATGCGAGAACAGACGATTGTTTGGTTGGCATCCTTATTGCTTATGCTGTCAAATTGCCGAGTATACCTTTACATACGTGGTTACCGGCTGTCGTATCTGGCTCACGCGATGCAAAAGGAGCACGCGATTTTGATATTACGCGCCTCCCGGATACTGGGTTCTTGCTCGTGCCCTCGGCCAGGCCCTCCACATGCGAGAACAGACAATTGTTTGGTTGGCATCCTTATTGCTTATGCTGTCAAATTGCCGAGTATACCTTTACATACGTGGTTACCGGTTGCCGTATCTGGCTCACGCGGTGCAAAAGGAGCACGCCAAACTGCCTCCCGGGATACGGGTTCTTGCTCCTGCCCTCGGCCAGGCCCTCCACATGCGAGAACAGACGATTGTTTGGTTGGCATCCTTATTGCTTATGCTGTCAAATTGCCGAGTATACCTTTACATACGTGGTTACCGGCTGTCGTATCTGGCTCACGCGATGCAAAAGGAGCACGCCAGACTGCCTCCCGGGATACGGGTTCTTGCTCGTGCCCTCGGCCAGGCCCTCCACATGCGAGAACAGACGATTGTTTGGTTGGCATCCTTATTGCTTATGCTGTCAAATTGCCGAGTATACCTTTACATACGTGGTTAGGATGCATTGTCCGATTTCGCTCACGCTCGATGGATACAACTAAACAAAGGAGCACGCCTTGATCGCCTACCCCGGATACGTGGATTCTGCTCCCCCTTGGCGAGCCCTCCACATGCGAGAACAGACGATTGTTTGGTTGGCATCCTTATTGCTTATGCTGTCAAATTGCCGAGTATACCTTTACATACGTAGGTTATTTGTAGGTGTAAAACACCGTCATCGAGCTCGGCTCACGATGCTTAAAAGGAGCACGCCACCAAACCTCCCGGATCTGATTCTTGCTCCTGCCCTCGGCCAGGCCCTCCACATGCGAGAACATACGATTGTTTGGTTGGCATCCTTATTGCTTATGCTGTCAAATTGCCGATTATACCTTTACATACGTGGTTACCTACGAGTACACTGCTGCGTTTGTTGTATCAGGCTCAGCAAGCCAGCGGCAAGCGAACACGCACGCCACGCCCATGACCTCCCGGATCGGATTCTTGCTCCTACCTTGGCCGGGCCCTCCACGCACCAAGCCCGGAACAGACGATTGTTTGGTTGGCATCCTTATTGCTTATCTTTGTCAAATTGCCAATTATACCTTTTACACGTGGTTTCCGCATCGTCCGATGCTCGGCAGTCGCATTGACAAAAGGAAGGCACGCCTGAGCGCCTCCGGGATATGGATTCTTGCTCGTGCCCTTAGCCAGGCCCTCCACATGTGAGAACAGGCGATTGTTTGGTTGGCACAGCTGTCGTATCTGGCTCACGCGGTGTAAAAGGAGCACGCCAGCCTGCCTCCCGGGATACGGATTCTTTCTTCATTTTTCACAGGCCAGGCTCGCTGCATGCATTCGCGCACATGCGCCTACACCAACCAGAGAGGATCGGTGCAGAAGGAGCAAACCAAACGATTTCTTTCTCGGGCCTGGCTCGATGGATACAACTAAACACAAGGCCATTGCATCTGGGCAACCTCGCACTTGTTATCGCTCTGTACCAAACAAATTATGTGTTCGTGGATAAGCATATTTCCATCCCTATTTAGGCTCCATTTAGTCACACTTCTTGGAGCTATATATACCTCCGCGCTTCTGTATGGAAAAACTTTAAGCCATAAATTGTGATTTCTTCGGGTCTCACATTCATTTCGCGTGGAGAGAAATAAATAGTTTCTATGAACGGTAGTACTATATTTGTAGGTGTAAAACACTCGAAACCGCAACAAATCGAGCCAACCCGGCACTTGTTATCGCTATAAATCGAGTATATAGTTTCCAAAATTGCGCTCGGAATGGTCTATCGCTATCAATACAATGATATGGTCCTCTAAGATAGAAGAAAAAGGGCTGAGTTGGGAGAGCAACCACACTTGGAGACGAACCTGCAGCGACCTCACCTCAAGCTCTATTCACACAGATCATGAAGCGTCAAACATCGATCCGACGGCTGCGCGGGCAAACCTACGAGTACACTGCTGCGTCCAACGTGAGCCACGAGGCGGATCCGAGCAAGCCAGCGGCAGAGCAGACACGGTAGCTCACGCACGCCGCACGCGCATGAGCATGACGCGCCGACGCACAGGAAACGGGCTCCGGGAACCCGACGGCAGGAGCCGCCGAAACGCGCTGGGGGCGGCGCCTTGGGCCCCACGCCCGCACCAAGCCCGGTCCACAGTCAGATCAGACCTCACCTTCCGTGCGTCTGCTCCCCCGCGTGGGCCCCCACACTCCACCTCACCCTGTCACCGTCCCGCCGCCCCCCTCCCGTCCGTGTGTATATATTCCCGCGCCTCGCCAGCGGCATTCCCATCCATCCATCCTCCGAGGCTCCACGGCAGTCGGCAGACAAGCAGGAGGGAAGGCAAGGCGAGAAGCCTGCGAGCGGCGAGTGCGCGGGGCGACACCAGTTGGATTACTTGTCCATCTATGGCGCCCAAGAGATCGACGTCGCCGGCCGCAAGCATCAGCAGCGGCGGCAGCGGCAGCGGCGTGTCCGCGGCGGCGGCTGCGGCTGCGGCGACGGAGCAGCCGAGGCTGCGCGGCGTGAGGAAGCGGCCATGGGGCCGGTACGCGGCGGAGATTCGGGACCCGTTGCGGAAGGCGCGCGTGTGGCTGGGCACCTTCGACACACCCGAGCAGGCGGCGCGGGCCTACGACGACGCCGCGCGCAGGCTCCGCGGACCCGGCGCCACCACCAACTACCCCGCCACGGAGCCGATGGCGCTGGCGGAGGCTCCAGTGGCGAGCGCGAGCGGGAGCCGGAGCGGGAGCGCCGTGGCGTACGCGTCGTCGTCGTCGTCGTCCTCGTGCTCCTTGCCGTTGCCGCAGGAGTCGCTGGCGGCGGTGACGGTGGCGGTCGCGGCGCCGCCCCCGTCGCTGGACCTCAGCCTGGCGCTGCCAGCTGCGGCGGCCGCGCAGCCGTACCAGCTGTTCGTGGACCCGACGGCCGCGGCCGTGACGCCGGCGCTGCTGCAGTTCCTGCCGCCGAAAAGCGAGGAGGAGCGGAGCTGCTCTGGGTCGTCGTCTGTGGTGTTCGACGCGGCGCCGCCGCCCGTGGGCCTGGGTCTGGACCTCAACCTGGCGCTGATGCCGCCGACCGAGATGGTCATGTGATTGGATTGCCGCCGTCCAGGAGACTAATCGATTGCTTAATTAATTATATTAGTCAAATTTTAGTAGCTAATCGATCGAGGCAGTCGTTCGTTCAGGTGTAAATAGGATGCAGATTTGTGTTTGTGCAGGCGCGTAGCCCTGTTTTCTTTGTTTGTACCGACAAATTTGCGTCTTTGGTTGGTGCAAGTGATGCAACGATGCAAAACCAAAACCAAAAAAAAAACGATGATTATGCCCCCAGCGGCTCTCATTCTGAGCCGTTCGCGGATTATAAATCTAGAATAGTATTTTTTCATCATCAAATCAACACACCTGAGTCAATAATGATAACATGATTACGACGATAATAATGTAAGATCATTTTAAATGAGTTTGAAAACAAATCAAAGCCAACGATAATATTCTACGATCAATTTCAGCCGAAACAAACAGGGCTGTTTATTTTCTGCTGTTTATTTTCTGCATTCACTTTTCAACTCCAGCAGTTACTGAAACCTCTCAAGTCTGAACAGTACGGCATCGGCTCCGGGACTCGGGAAGAGAATGGGAGTTGCAGGCACGGGGACACCGGACTGCTGCGAGCGCCGGCACCGGACGGAACGCGTCGCCGGGCAAGTACCTGGAGGGTTCGCTGCAGGTGCCCATGTCGGCAGGGCAGCTATAGGGAGGAATTATAAAATATGATTCTGTAGTGGGTGGTGGCGACTGGCGCATGGCGTGCGCGCACGGCAGACGGCACCGCCCAGAGCTGACAACGCGCGGCGATACGGCGGTTGCCTGCTCCCGTCTCTCCCAGCTGGGCATGCACGCGCGCGTCGCTTTCGGGCAACTCCAGCGAACAAGTACCCCAGAGGCCAGAGCAGGGTTGGTGGCAGCGGCACAGCTCCACCTCCACGGGCGCGCGGCTGTTGGACCCGCGGCCGCGCGTGCGCCCGTGTCACGTTCCTGCCGGTGACACGCCAACCGTCCAACGTCATTGTAACAACACGGATTATGCTGCTGCGGATAGGGTATGGATTACGAATTCAGCCAGTAGCCAGTAATAGAGTGCATACGACGATAAATGGAATTGGTCGCCGCCGGTCAACTCGAGCCGCAGCTCGCCACCATCTACTACCGGCGCGTTTCAAGACAAGTTTCTATTGAGCAAAACACTTAACTATTGTGTAAAGTATCATTTCGAACGAATTATATTGAGCAAAATAGTTAAATGGTGCTTAAATATTTTGCTTCTACGGGATAGTATAAGGTATGAACTATTGCATTAAATATTTGTTGGTAGCAGTTAATAGGGTTTAGCCATTTTAAAAATTATAACAAAAAAATGTTAATGGCTGTTAGTTCAAATTGAACCTTAACTTTTCTAAGTATGGAAAAAGTAGTAAGACAATGCTATCATGACATTTAAATTCTAACTAAAATGTTATTGTTGACTGCATCAAAGTGAGTATTTGAGCATGTCATAGGTGGTTGTTATGTTGGGTGTCACGTGGCTCTCGTAAAAATTTTCCAAACTTCATTGGAACGCACTGTACACCATATTGTTGGCGCTCTGTTCGTGAACCGGAGTTCAGCACGACGAGCTCAGGTTGGCATCCTCCTATCCCCCTCTATGGTTGCTCTCTGGCCATGGTGATGGCTTTGCTAGGTCGCTGGTAATGTTGACAGTAGGATAGGGGAATTAGCTGGGCCTCACTTGTGATCGTTAGTAGTTTTCGCTTCGCTTTAAAATTCGTGCACGTCATATGCCTAGCCTGTGCGCATGATCACCTCGCGCGGCCGCGCGGCGACGCGCGGCTGGTCGTGTTCCGCGCGCCGCGGAACCGAGCCCGGTCGGCCTGTCTGGCCGTGGATTGGCCATGGCCGACCCTGGCGGGCCGCTGTCATCACCCTGCAGCTGCTGGCCAGTGCGCTGCTGCCCCACCTTGCTGCCGGCCAAGCCGATGTCACGGCGGCCTTCGTCTAGCCAGCGTGACACTCGTTCCTCTGCTCGAATCACCTACTCGCCGAGCCGCTGCCTACCTCCATGGTCACGTCGCACTAATGCCATGTCGCAGTGTCACTGCCCTCCCTCGCGTCATTTTGTTGCACCAGCCCTGCGAGACGGCCCCGCGTGCGATCGCTGTTTCACTGCCACCGCCCGCATCGCGCCATGGCCGAGCAGTCCCATCACGGCGCTCCACGATGCTCTCTCTGAGTCTTCCCCGTGCGGACCCCTTGCTTCATTACCGCAGCCTTGACTGAGGCAGGCACAGCCTCGAAGAGCTGCCGCTCCCGCCTGCCCTTGTCGCCGACAGAATCGCCTCGCTTCGCACGACAAATACGTGCGGTTCGGGGCACCACACCTCAATTCGGCGTTCCATAAGTTAGATAGGAAAGCCAGCTAGCAGTCCGACCCTCACCTTGGCGCAACCGAGCACTATTGACCACCAATTTGGCGTTTTTCTCGCCGTCGGTCAGGTGCACCGCCGTGCCAGTGAAATTGGGGTAAGGTCTGAAATGGTTCAATTGTTTGTATCCATGAGCTCGCCTTGACCTCCTCTATCTGGTGCTCGCGCCATTTGGCCAGGGCGCTTACCGGAGACGTGGTGACGCATGGGTTTCCATCCTGAAGCACCGCCGCCCTGGCGGCTCGCAAGTGGCCAGACCATCGCAGCACTCCCCTGCTTTAATAGTCAGTAGGGCACGCACAACGGTGAGCCACTGATGCTTATATGCCATCTCTACTCTGCTGAGCGTACGTAGGTTCGTCGGAACAGGCGCGCCACCGTCGCTGATAGCCACTTGCCGCTGCAGCTCGCAACAGTGCGCCTCCGAGTCACTAACCGCCACCCATCCTTGCGCGTTCAGCTATAGATGGTGGTCGGCTCCTTACTTCCGTCGTAGCGAGCCTAGTTTGCCCGGCGTAACCGCCTTATGCCGTCGGCCGCCGCGGCGGCATGCGTGGGGTTTCCGGGGACCTCTCCGTGGTAAAGGTGAAAACATCCGAGGGTTTGGTTGTAAGATTACTGACGGTAGAAACAGTGCGCATAGTGCCACGAATAAATTGATAGATCAAGGTCTTTCTACAAAATAGCCAGCGCACGCGAGGGATCCCGCGTTGGGCCGCTGCTGGGCCGAATGCTTGCCACCGGGCCTTTTTGTTTTCTAAAGTATTTTCTAATTTAGTTTCTAAGGTAAACTTGTAAATTCAATATAAAATTGTGTAGTTAACCGAAAATTGTGAAACCACTTTTGTTAGGTATCTAAAATTATGATCTATCTGCTAGTATATTTTGTTCACATATTTTTATAATATTTTCAGGAGTTATCTAATTAATTTGAGATGCTTAATATTGTAAGATATAAACTTGTAGGAATTTTTTGTGATAAATTGGTGATAGTGTTGGCTTTGAAACTTTCATAGTAAATTCCTAACATTATTAGGTGCTCACTGTAATTTTTGTACCTCCATAATAATTAGGTTGCTAAGGTAGCTAAATGAGCTCTAGTTCGAAAATATATATTTAATCAATAAAATACCAAAACACCTTGGGATTTTAAAACTAGAATATTTTCTAGGAAACAATGCCTTATTCGACAACATGGATACGTAACATAGCACGTTTGTTATTAGAGCTATCTCGTTAGCTTGCGTGGCGTAATCATTTTTCTAAGAGTTTCGGTTGTCGTTGATTATATACGTCTCTGCGTTGCATCCACGTATATCATAATAGGAACAATGATGGATCATGGAGATGATCGGAGTAGCGGAAAGGATGGTGCCTTGATGATCGTGTCAACATGATGGAATGCTAACTTTTGTTATATCTTACCCAGGCAAGCCCAGTGCATAACCCCTATTATTCTGCACTTTATATATATATATATATATATCCTTATCCTATGAGTCATACTAGTATATTAGGATCATGTAGATTGCTCTGCTATAGGACCCGGTAGAAGTCGAGTGATTACCTGTCACTCGCGAGAGATAGAAAAGATATTATTGTTGTTATTATATTACTATCACATGGAATATATATGAATGATAATTGAAGACCGGGCAGAATGGTACTTTGGATCTAGACTTGGTTAGGCATTCGAGCGATGCTTGGATTGCACTTGTTCCGCCTGTGTCGATTGAGGACCATCCATTGCTGTGGATGGTAGTCAGGTCACAGACTTATTATCCTGAGCACATATTTGCTTATGGGAGCGGGAATGCTCGTTACACTCTTATCGTGGGTTTCGGCTCTTTCCGGACCGACTGATTGGAGGCGGGAAAAGGTAGAGCTCTAAGCACCATGCTAAGACCGGGTCTCAAGTGTGGGGGCTTGGAGTCCAAGTTTGGACGAGGACCTAGACCCCTCGACAGGAGTGGAATGGGTTGGTCTTGTTTGTGCCTGGGGTACAAACGGGACGTGTGTTTCGGGGTACCCAGCTGGGATACATTGATTCATGAATCGTCGTTTCTGTGAGACATTACAACTTGGCTATGGTCTAGCGCCGTAGTAAGAACTAGAACTTGAAAGATGATAAAATGATTCTAATTGCTTACCACCTGCTTGAAAGTAACATAGGTGTTTACATAGAATGGTTAGTTAATGAACTAATGATGACTGCTAATAGAATTGAATATAAGGACGCATGTTTAGTAATGCTTCCGCAGATGCAATAACCCACAAGACAAATAAGCCTTGTATATTATTGGAGTCTTTTATTTTACTCCCTGTCGGGTAAGTCTTGCTAAGTACAATCGAGTACTCAGGGTTTTATTCCATCTGTTGCAGGTGATCGGAGGATACTTAAAGCTGACTCTTGTGTGTGGAAACCTGCCGGTGGGCTTAGAGAGGATTCATTCACGCTACGACCGTAGTGTTTATTCATAACCCTCACTAAAGATTTTTATAAGAAAAGATGTAAAATCTGCTAGCATCTCTTGTATATAAATGTCCACTACGTTAATGTTCCACCATGTCATTAAATTAATTTTTACGTTCTCTGTAACTTTGATAACATTGTTATATTCCGCTATTATAATCAATTGAGGTAATATTCTGTTACTCTAATAAAGTGATGTAAGAAATGACTTAAGAATGTTGTAAGCTGTATTATCTTATTTATGAGCCATAGGGCATCAACCTGAGCATGGAGAGAATCCAAGCCAGAGCTCAGATCCGCCACCTTGCCATCGACTTGAGGCCGCCGGCGATCAAAATCAGCCTTCGCTGCTCGGAGATCTTCGATGGAGGCTTGCACTTCGTTGATGCGACAATTTCCTTCATTGATTCCCTTGGTTTATTCGTCAAGCTTGTCGATAATGAGGGCCAATTGATCTTCAACCTTCATGGTGACTTGAAGGCGTGTACGGTGGTCGTGCGCCAGAGCTGCAATCCAACGTGCGATTGCCGACCCGACAGACCTCGGCTCGGACCTATGAATCTCGCGAGATCAACACCGAAGTGGATCCCGGAGTTCCGTCGACGGGGATTACAGTTGCGATCAAGGCAACAGCAACGTCAAATCGAAGCACTCGCGAGAACGGATCGAACCGAATAACCGATACCAAATTGTAACAACACGGATTATGCTGCTATGGATAGTGTCTGGATTACAAATTCAGATAGTAATAGAGTGCATACGACGATAAATGGAATTGGTCGCCGCCGGTGAACTCGAGCCGCAGCTTGCCACCATCTACTACCGGCGCGTTCCAAGACAAGTTTGAGTTCGCTACGGGTTCACCTCTTAAACGAGTTCGCTTACATCTGTTTCCAGCAGCACATCACCAGACGTAGCTGTGCTTGGGCTTCTTAAACTTCTTCCAGCTTGGGCCATGGAACTTTGGATTGGGCTTCCTAGGGCGCTTGCTCCTTTTCCCTTCTGGGCTTGTAGGTACCTTGCTCACTATGACAGTCATGCCTAGCTCTAAATAAGGAGCCAGTTTGGCTCGAGTCGATGTACACATATATTGGTCGGGACGTTAACCGTGTGTCAGGTCTGAGGGTATTGTGATATCCGGGTTCGACCCAGATGGAGATGTGTTTGGTTGAGAAGCTTTGTGGGTATAGGTCGAACCTGAAGGGAAAATACCCTTAGATGGGAGTTGGAATGGTCCCTCCGATTCGAGGGGACGAGCTCGACCCACATCCGCGCCGTTTTGCTCTGTCTCGCAGGGCGACTGGTCGGTGTGGGCGCTCGAGGAGGTGGTGGCGGGGGCGAGCAAGCTCAGGGGCGCAGGCTGGGCGCCGTCCGCTGGAGCAAGGCAGCGCGGTGCAGGGTGCGACGGCTGGATGCGCGGGGCGTGCTTTGGCCCCTAGCCATGGTGGCGCGTGACGAGATCCGAATGAGCCGTGGTGCGGGCGAGCTGGTGACGGAGCGAGTCCAGCCAGGGCCGCAGGAGCTGGTGGCAGCGCGGGATGGTTAGCGGTGCTCTATTGTGCGGTGCTCAATTGGAAGTGAGGTGGAAGAAAATGGAAGGTTGGCTGACAGCTGGATCCCATATCTAACACTAGTTCACGATGTCTAGGTTGCCATCCATTCCAACCCAGCCAATCCCTCACACCAAACAACAAATTGGAATGGCTCTATCGCCGTAGCCAAACGTGAGGTGGGTTCAATCTAACCCAAAAAACTGAAATAGAAGATGGTTATATTTGGATGGTTATTTAGAGAATTAGAGAAGCCGTTGGAGGATAATTTTTCATCAAAATCTCTATTCTATTATGAAGGATTTAGAGAGTCTCTTAGAGTTCCTCTAAGATGGTGGCATGGTTGCCCATCTGTGCTTGATGATTTGCACTGTTGTTTCCTCAGTGCTGCTCCTGCTGGGCAAATCTTATGACGCTCGAGGAGGAGCCCGTTACTAGGTTTTGATCTCAGGTCGTGGGCTGCGGCCCGCGGGGAAGAGGCCGATGAAAACAATTGAGGCTGATGATAGAGACATTTCGTAGTTCATAGTAGTAGAGATTCATGTACTTCTGAATCTTCTCTTTTCAAGTTACATTATTATTCTGAATGTAGATTGTTGATGTGCAATGATTTAGTAGATTAATAATGTTTGATTTGCCATTAAAACTAGTGGCTAATGATTATCTTATAACTAGTAGGACTTATCTCAAATATCTTTGATTGTATTACACAAATTATACACTAATTGAGGTGGTGTATATTGTCTGTATTGTGAAAGTCACCTCTGTTATTTTCTTACACTTGGACGGCTACATGCCCATCTATATCCCTAAAGATAATGGATTTTTCAGTTTCTGTTTGCCCGTGACAACGCAGATCCTATATATTTCTAGTAAAATTGTCAAAAGTGCCAAAGGTGCCTAGCTGATCTAGTTAGGTTGCCTCGATATCACTCTCAGGTCCTGACTTCGACTCTCATGTGGAAGTGAATTTCAGGCTGGGATTAAAAAAAAATCCCTCGTCTGTCCCATGGCCAAAGCGCAGGTCTAAGGCCCGGCCCGGTTTTCACAGGACAACGGTGCCCATGTGTCAAGGTGAGGCTGAGATTCGGGGGTTTTCTTAGACTGTGTGATAAGGTCTTCTCTCTTACAGCAATGCCCGGGGAGGCTTACCCCCGCAGGTCGAGTTTTTAAAATTTACAAAAGATACCAGCGTCCGCATGGCTGCAGCCTTCCGTTGTGCCGCTCACGCTGTGCCCCTCCACGCTCATGTGATGCTACGGAAACCCAGTTAGGATCTCGGCGCCGTCGCTGGTGACCAGCACGGTGTGCTCGAACTGCGCGCTGAGGCTGCCGTCCACCGCCACAGCCGTCCAGCCGTCGTCCCACACCACGCACTGCGTGCTCCCCATCGACAGCGTTGGCTCTGCATTGCATTGCGTGGAGTCGGTGGCCATTCGGACGATGATCAGTAAACAATTCCCTCAACGATGATAAAAGATCATGGGAGGAGAGGAGAGAGAGGTCTTGGGACGGGTGCTTACCGATGGTGAATGTCTGGCCTGCGACCATGAACCCTGGCTCGTAATCGTCTGTCACGGTCACGGATGTGTCTTCAGGCCGTGCTTGACTGAATTAACCACAGTGATCAGAAAACGAAACAGTATGTGTTTAATTACTTACAGGTATGCCATATGATGGGTTCGCAATGGAATATCCTCCCAATGCCGTGCCCAACAAAGGGGTCGATGCCATAGCCATATTTCTCTGCGTGCTCACTGAAACAACCAAAGCAGAGTCTCAATCGCTGACAGGACCAAGTTCATCGCAATGGAAAATTCAACAGTAAAATGCGATACACTGTGGCCAGATAATATGCAAGCTGTCGGGGTTGTTAAGAATCAAAGTTCTATTCAGATAATACGCAACAGCGGCATCAGAAAGTGTCATGCTTAAGAAATAAGCTTCATAAAAAAACGCTTATCTGGATGTTAACGAAGCATCAGAAGATTCATGCTCACATATGTTTGATAAATAAGAGAGATCAAGACCTTATTCTCTGTCCAATTTCCTTGAAACTAGCACCGTGCTTGCAGGCTGATATGCCTCGCATCATGCACTCTTCAGTGACCTATTACAGACCACAAAAGATTGGTTCACACAATACGATTAGGAAGTAGTCAGAAGGGAGAAACATCAGAGTCATCACACCTTCACAAGTTGCTTAGTAGCGTCATCGACTTCTCCACAAAGGTATGTTCTTGAGGTGTCCCCGTGGTAGCCCTGGAGCAACAGTCCATGTCACTTTATGACATCAACATTTATCAATTACTAAATTGATTGATAGCATTAGAACAGAGCAACGATAAGAAAAAATGTGTCGGTTGCAGATGAAAAGAACAGCAGGTAGCACACATACGTTTAAATAGACAGTAACATCAATGTTGATAATGTCTCCATCCTGCAAGGTCATTGGGAGGAAGCATGATTGTTCAGCTCCAAAATTAAGCAAGTTCAGCAATTATATATACCTGTTTCATTTCAGGTAGCACACGATGACTAAGAAATGTGTCTTCGTTCAAGTGCTGGTACTAGTTTGCTACTCCCTACTACATTCGAGGCAGAAACTAGAAGAAGAAAAATAAGTGCCCAAACCTGTAGCTCGCGTGAGTCGGGGATACCGTGGCAGGTGCACTCGTTCACCGACGTGCACACGCTCTTGGGGAACCCGCCGTATCCAAGTGGGGAGGGGTAAGCGCCGGCGTCGACGATCATCTGGTGCACAGCTCTGTCGATCTCGTCCGTCGTCACGGAGGGCTGCACATGCATGTGCGTGCACGCACGGGTCACAAATTTCTCGACAGAAAGCGAACCAGATCCGCAGGACGCGCGCTCACTACTCTACTCAACTCACTTTGACCATGGCTCCGGCATGGTGCAGGACTCGAGCGGCGAGCTCGCAGGCGTCCAGCATGCGCATGATGCTCTCGCCGTCGTGCACCTGCCGGTCTGGGCTCACGTCCGGGACGGCGTCCGTGCCGACGTAGGGTGGCCGGGGTATGTGGTCCGGCACCGGGAGGTGCGCGCTGACGGCCCCGCGCCGCAGCGGCTCCCTCCTCCTCCTCTTGGATCCTCCTCCAGAGCCCTGCACCTCTGCAGCCCTTCAGTTCGATCGTGTCAGAGACTCAGAGTGCAGGTGTCTGCGATTGGAAGGAATTTCGAGGTGCGGATTTGATTTTGGGAACGAATTGGGACGGTATATATATCGCAGGGGCATAGGAATGATCATGAGCACCTGCAGAGGATCCTCGTCGTCGTGGGTTCCACACTTCTCCGCGGCATCCTTGATGCTACGCGGAGAGGCGCCTCGTCACCTGCGAGAAGCAGCGGTGGAGACAAGGAAAAGGGGATTGGGGGTTAACTAGGGCGGCCGAATTAATGAGAAAGGAGAAGCATATGTACCTGAACTGCGGCAGCGCAATGCGGTGAACGGCGACGAGAGGTGCTGGTTGAGATCGGCCGCCGGGACCCTCACCGCCATCGCTGCTGTTGCGGATGGCGGGAAGTGGGTGAGGAACTGAGGATAAGGCGAGAGCAGTTGGAGTTGGAGGGATGGTATTCAGTATTCACTGCACCACTTGACTACAGTCTAGGCCCAGGGAGGCAGGGAAAGAAAGATCCCCCCCCCCTCCGGTTATCGACGGAACACGACGCCAGCCCAACAATCCACGCTCTTTGGTATCTCAAAAGGAAAAACTTCATCCAATTATTTTTATTCACTCGTTCTTATCCGCTCGCTTGCCGCCTCGAGAGCACGACCGCTAGCCCGACGAGGAGCAGCGCGTGGCGCTAGCCTTGCCAAGCACGGCGTGCGGCCGCCTCCGAGTCGCGACGTGCAGCTGCCGTCCCTGGCAAGCGCAGCGTGCTGCTGTCCTCTCCAAGTCGCGCGGCCGTAGCCTCCCTGCCGCTCGTGTAGCCAATGCCTCCCTTCTGCAACGTGCAGCCACTGCCATCGGCCCGCCGCCTATAAGCGCCGCTGGGCCGCTGCCTACGGTGAACAACATACACCGACGAGTCTCCATTCTGCTGAGCAGCATGGAGATGTTGTGTTGAAAGCGCATGTTTGAAGAGTATGTTTCAATTGATTTCAGAGATATGTTGCAAGTGTTTTATATGGATGTTGCAAAAATAGATCGTAATGTTGCACATATTGCAATGGTTTTACACAGTACACGTATGTTGCAAGCGTCCGTTCCAAATGTTTCATCTGCTTTTTCAAACGTATGTTGCAAGTTTACTTATTTGGATGTTGCATATGTTTCACACATATGTTGCAAGAGTATGTTCAAAATGTTTCAACTGTTTTAGTCTTATGTTGCAATACGTGTTTTCATGTTGCAAGTTGAAAGCGTTTTATCTGGATGTCACATATGTTTCACACACATGTTGCAAGTGTATGTTGTAAATATTTCATATGCTTTAGACTTATGTTGCATTCAAGTGTTTCATGTTGCAAGCATTTCGTGTTTCAGAGGTATATTCAGAGAATCATGGGGGCACAGCCCGGGCACCGAGGGAAGGGGTGTGGTGAGCCAAGGGCCGACGGATGGGTTGTGCAGTGCGCCTGGGGTCATGCGGACGGGGCGTGCTCGTCCTCATCTCAGCTCCCGAGTCCCGCCTACGCGAAGAGAGATGAGGGGGTCGGGGGAAAGGAGCGGCGGGCGCGGGGCGAGACAGACGGGGAAGGACTGCAGCGATACGGTGGGAGTGCGACGCGTTTCTGCAGGGCCATTCAGTACCGTTCGATGAAATCCTATCCATTGGAAGTCCGGGTGCCAGCAATTCTCAAAACATTTTCCCCTCAAATTCCAGGGATAGAAAGTTTCATGATTGCCCTGTTAAAAGAAAATAAAACAGAGCAAATTTTAGGGCCTATTTAGATGGTTACTAGTTGAGGCTAAAAGTTAACCTAAATTAGCCGCCGTTGGCTAAGTTAAAGACTTGGCTATTATTATCCCTTTTATTTAAATGCACTAAGCTAATTTTTAGCTAGCTAGATATTAACCCTAGTAGGCCCTATAAACAGGGGCATACACATGTATATGTATGTTCACCACGCACGCATATCTCATTTGCCCCTCCTCTTTTTTCATGGAAAATCATGAATTGCTTAATAATTTTTTAGTAAAATGTTTCAAAGTAGAGGAAACATAAATTATGATGAAACTTTTGAAACAAATCTACTCATTTGACTTCAAATATGCAAAACCGCTCCATAAAAGTTGATTGTAACCAATTTTTTGTATTTACCTAATACATGCAACTTAAACACACTGTCTTTTGTTAGAGGGAGAAATAAGGACTTTTTAGAAAGAATCATACTATTTTTATATCTGAGCTTGATCATGGCCACTTGACTCACAGTTTGGAACCCAGAGTCCCAGAGTGCGAGGTTTGGTTATATAGTACTAGCTCGATAGCACGCTCTCCGCTCCACGGGCGACAGGAAGGAGCACAAACAGCACCAGAAGAACAGTAAAAAGGAACGTGAATAGTGTAACACCCCGGCGTTACGTACCTCATTAGCAAATAGGTTAAGATTGATACAACTTGACTCATAAGTTTCATGTGCTCCGTAATGACCTCTTACTTGTAATACTAAAAATGTTGAGTAAAGATTCTTTTAAAATTATAGCCAACTTAAACATTTTCAGGAAATACAAATCTTTGTTAGTAATAAAAATGCGCATGATGAAGTATGTGTTTGTAAAAAAAAAAGAAATCGGAAAACAAAACACACACGCACACAACACTCACGCATGCACGCTGCTGCTGGCCGCTGGTGCAAGCCAAGTTTGACCGAGAGAGAGACCCGCTGCTGCCCTGCATGCCGAGCACTCAAAGCTGCTGTGCCGTCGTTGCCGCCGTGCTGCGCCCGGTCTCCGCACAGCGGCGGATTCAACGATGGTGTTGCCTACCGATACCGGAGCCCTGGAGCCCCATTAATTTTTAGATAAAGTTCTATTATGTAGGTGGGGTTGAGACTTAAAATCGAACAACAGTCGGAGGTATGTTGCTGTTGCACTTTTGTTCAGTCCCCCTAAAAAATTTTCTGGATCTGCCGCTGCCAGCAAATGGTACAGCTGGAGGTATTTTAGTTGTTTTTAAGACCAATAAGTTTGATATCTTGCAATGGGATATTAGGAAATTTTGTGTGTGTGCTAGAATTAAGAATGTAGCGGATAAATTTACTTGGAGATTGATCTCTGTTTATGGCTCTGCTTATGAACAAGGGAAACAGGAGTTCATTGATGAACTTCATAGTGTGATGGACTGATGGGAGAATGGGATGGGCCAAGCCTAATTGGTGGCGATTTTAACTTGATTAGGGACATGGCCGACAAGAACAATGATAACATTAACTTTCACTGATGATAACGTGATCTTTGTCATAATATTTTTTTTATGCATGTCACTAATTATTGTATCCCTACCACCAGGTTCATTTCTAAGCCATCAGCTATGTCAGAAGGGAAATTAACATGCAAGGGTTTTGAGGAGCTGCTAGATGGTGAAGCCTTGTTGAAGCATGTTTTTTTTCTACCGTTTCTTGTCTGAATAATAAATATATATTGACTGTAAAGTCTACGGATGTTTCAAATGTCCTGGCCAACAGAAAAATACTAGCAGGATGAATGAATGTATCACCTTCCATCTGGTGAATTGGCTCCCTTGAACGATAGTAACAGCAGACGAGGAGCACACCGACGCTGCAGATCACTAGTCCAGCTGCGATCGCAACTAGTACTATCGTGTCAACTTTATGGTGGTGGTGCGCCTGACGATCTAAACAAGAAGATAGTGGTAAAAGGTGTAAAACTGTCTCCAACCGTGGGGACCTAAAAACAAAAAGCATTTCATCCTTTGTGTCGCGCATAGCCAATGGGTTAGGACCCAAAACATCACCCTTTCCAATAGACAACGCAAAAGATCCGGTGGTTGCGTCCTCTCCTCAGGTGCCGCCTTGGCCCGACCACGTCCTCCTCCCGTGTGCGGCGTGTTGCTGCCTTGGCCTCCCTCTCTCTCTCCTCTATCTCCTCCCTCCGTGATGTGGGACCCCTCCTAGGCAAAGGCGAGCGAGGTGCTGCAATGGACGGTGGGGGCTGAATCCGTCTCGCCACGCCAAGCACCGGCCGCGGCCCGCCTTTGCCGGCCGTGGGAGCAAAGCAGCCGCGGCTGGCTCGAAGGAGTCGCCATCGCCGTGGGGGAAAGCAGCCCGCGGCGACCTTGCCGAGGCCGCCGGCGAGGAGGCGAGGTGTGGCGCCGAGCCCCGTCGTCCTCGAGAAGGTCCAGCGTGACCTCGACCAACTCCTCCCCGTTGTCGGAGACTCCGGTCGAGAGCCAAGACGGTGAGGAGCCCGTGTTCCCCGGCGTGTGCGATGCCGATCCACGAGTTTGGGTCGCGCGTCTGGGAGAAGGCAAATTTGCCTCCCCTCTCTCCTCCCACCCAAAATGCGTGCCGGCTCTGCGTCGTCCGTTGGAGCCGGTTCTGAGAACGCAAATGCACTGTGGCGGACGCAATTTTGCGGTTGCGTCGCGTTGTTGGAGTCAGTCTAAGTTACCGAATGCATATCCATGTTTACGACTTAATAACTAAATAATATATAGTCATGCACTGACTCGTAGTGCTCGGTTCGTGCGCCCTCCGTCGAAGGCGGCGCAGCCTCCGTCGAAGGCGCCGACAATGGAACCACCATGTCGCCGTTCATCAACAGCTTGACATTAGGTTCGCCAGCGGAAAAACTTTCTATGAGTCTCACACCTGAGGCCGCACCTCCAGCCAACCAGACACCCATTCACGTTCACCACCATAGCCGCCGCCAACAACTCCAGCTTCAGTTTCTTCAGGCAACTGTGGCATTCGCTGGGGACAGGTCCGGGTCGCATTGGGCCATTGAGTAGAGGGATTCGCTCCCCACCACTTGACCGGTGCCGAAGTAACGGTGTCGATACCGACGTTGAGGATGACACGCATCAAGCCGCTGTTGTTCAAAGAGCCAAGGAAATCTTTTTGCCGCGACGCGAATGTAGCCCGGGGCGGATCTGCAAGGGGGCTGGGGGGCTTCAGCCCCCCCTACAGCTGGTGCATCAATGGAAATATGAGGAGGGTGAGGGAGAAGAAGAGGTGGAGGAAAGAAGAAAAATGGAGAGAGAGATGAAGAAGAAGAGACTAGCCCCCCTTCAATCATATTCTGCATCCGCCACTGAATGTAGCATCGACCGTTGAGGACTGCTGCGTCCAGGTTTTGATTGCAGGCCACCAGCACGTCTTGGACGGCCCGACTGCCGCAATCCAAGCAATCTTCCAAGCTGATTCGCTGTGGCAAACCACCACTCCGTAGGCTGCTCCCTCGCCTGCGCCGGTGGAGCCGGTCTCGGCAACGGAGCAGCCGCCTTGCCGACAACGTAGCTCACCGTAGCGTTCAGCAGTTGCGCGGCGGCGCTGATGGTGGAAGCGGTGTCGATACCGAGGTTGAGGAT